CCAGGGGACCACGGTTGTCCTCCCAGCCCCGCCGGGGTGCCCCCAAGGGAGCGCCCTGTCTGATGCCCCATGGCCCCCGCGGCTGCCCCGCGTCCCTGTCCGCATGCACGTTGCTCACACCGCGGAGTGTGTGTCAGTCACCTGACGGCCCAGCTGAAACACTTTCCCTGCTGCTGCTTCCCACTGAGGAGGTTGGGTCCAAAGCCCTCGCCCCCCCCGCCCCTGGAGCCTGAGCTCCCGCCCAGGGCCCTCCCCCAGGCCCGCCCCTCGCCATCCGTCCACGGTTGCCCAGCACCCGGCTCTGATTCGGACACAGTGAGGACAGGCTGAGTCTTTTCCTGTGGTACGAACAGTTAGAAAATGGCGCCTGGAGAAGAACTCACCTTGCACCGCGATCGAGCGCCAGCAGTGAACTGAGTGCGTCCTCTGCTGCCAGCGGACCACATGCGAGGAGCCTTCACTGGATGTTTCCAGTAAAAATGGAGTTGGCTTCGCAGAAACCAGGACTGGCGCTTGCACTTTGGTGGTGCAAGGTCACAGGTTTGTCCCCACTGAGACTTTCTCCGCGCCCCTCCCCCTGCAAGCACACGTGGGCCTCTCGTGGGAGCTGTGAGCACGGTGCGCTGTCTTCCTTGGAAGTCCAAGGCACGGGGCATCCTTGCCGGCTTTGAGCTCCCAGCTGATGTTAAACGGATCCACACACTTAGGCCATACAGGTTCCTCGTAGCAGTCGCCCTTGGTGTGCAGAGCAGTCCTTAAAATGCCATGGTCACAGCGGGGACCTTGTCAGTGCTTCCCGAGAGCTGAAGCGCCCGCATGCACCTGTGTGACCGGGTTGCCACTGTGCAGCTTCATAACACTGAGGACACGGCGCCTCTGTTTCACCCTTCGCAGAGCTCGCCGGGCCAGGCAGGATGGTGACCTTGAACTTTAAGTAGCCTCTGATTCCTCAGGAGTAAACACAGGGGGCGGAGGGCACGCTGTGTTGCCATGGTTACAGGGAATTACCGAGCGCAGTTATACTTTGGAACTGAAAACGGTGCCATGATCACCGCAACGGCCTGCAGCTGCAGTTCCTTATCAAACTTTCCAAAATAAGTCTTTCTCACGTGGACATTCTCTGCCCTGGAGCTCGGCAGAGGACGGCCGTCTTGCTGTCCGCAGAAGCGTGCTAATGGCAAGTCAGCACGTTCTACCTGAGAGAAGAGCTTGTGGAGACGCCTCACTGCCCTCGCGCCCGCGGCTCGGCCCCGGCCGCTGGGAGCCTCCGCCCCTGTCTGCGCGGCCCGTGGGACCCGGCCTTCTGTGTGATGGTAAACACACGGGAACATTGGGCCTTTGAAGGAGGAAAGAAGAGGCTTGTGTTAATTTGGAGAATCTCTGCTTCACGTAAAATGTGCTGACAGTTTTCAATTAGAAATGTATTGTTCACGCAGGTGTGCGGCCCTCACACAGTGCGGCCCCTCGGTTTCTCCCCAACGGCCGAGCACAGCCGGCGAGTCACGGCCGCCTCAGGTCTGTCAGCGCCCCTCGTTCACGTGGCTCCCGGGCATCGCCCCTGTACCCACTCTGCGCCGGGGCTCCGAGGACGCGAAGGCGGGCTGGGTGCCGTCCTGCAGCTCGGAGTCCGGTGGGGGCCGTGCGGGAGGGAAGCTCGGGGGAGGAGCCCCCCAGGCCCCGGCTGCGGCCGACCCTGGCCTGTCCCTCTCATCGCGGCGTCGCAGCCCCAGTGCGGGCTCCGACTTGTCCTCTCCTTCCTTCTTCGCATCCCCCTTTCTCCTCCTCCTCACTTCTCCATTTCTCTTTCTGGCGCCTTCTTTGTCGTTCCAGGGCCGGCCTCTACTCCTCACAAGAGTAAAGTCGTTTCACGGTTCTCACTGAAGTTAAAATGCAGTGTCTCACTTAAGAATCTAAGCAGGAGAATGCGAGATAATAATGTAAATAAACCATCATAACCACTAACGGCCATCGAGCATCAGTTTACGGAGCAGCTCCACGAGCGGGAGGTGGTGGGGGACGGTCTGCAGGGCCGCGGCCCCCCGGCAGGCGCTCTCGGGCTCTGACAGGCGTGTGGTCGGCGTGGCGGCTGCTCGGTGCGCACAGCGCCCAGCGAGCCATCTGTGTCCCACACGGTCGGTTCACCACCCCCCGGGCAGCACGGGCCCAGAGTCAGCGCGAGTGAGGACCCAGGAAGAAAACGTCACTTTCCCTGTTCAGGCTTCAGGCCCCTCAGTATCGAGGTCATAGGGGATGAGCCAGGGATCGAGGCTGATCCAGGAGACCTGCTGTGTGTGGGGACATTGCCCCCAACACCCACCTAGAGAGCAGCTTCCGGAACACAACGCGCAGGTGGGTGTGTCAGGCGTCTCCCGCGCTGAGGTGTGATCTTCGAAATCCCAACCGTCAACCCTTCGCTCTTCACAGCCGAGCTCATCTTCAGTTCACTACGTTGCTTTAGGTCTTTTCACGCGTCCTGTGTCCTGCGTCCCCGACCGTTCCCCCCACCCCAGCCCGCGCGGCACCGCCTGCTGGCTTCACGGCAAAGTGCCCTCCCCGATTGTGTGTGAACCTGCAAGCGACCCGCAGGAGGGGCCCCCAAGAGCATTGGGCCCTTTAAGCACATCTTTCTCTGGGCTTGGTCTGTCTTCCCTGCGGACACCCCAGCAAAGGGCCCAAATTTATTTTATGATTTTGCCCAACTGCAGTTTCTTCTAGAAATTCTTCTAGAAAATGCCCGTACAGAGAATTACCCTCCCTCACAATAGGACTTTGTGATGACAGGGGACATGTCAGCGGTGCGCGTGTCTGTGCATCTCCAGGAGAGCAGCCGGGCGACGTATTTGCGGCGCGGTGGCCGGCCGTGGCGTGCGTGGCCGGGAGGAAGGGGGTGCGGGGAGCAGGGTGTTCATCGCTCGTGACTCTAGCAGCAGGGTTTTAGGAATTCGTTTTGTGAATTTATAGCTTTGATTGTTCAACCTCTTTGTTCTCTAGTAAAAAATGTTTCCGTCCCTAATAGTCATGCAGCGCCATTAACGGAAAGCCCAGTGACCAAGACTTTTGCCGTAACATAGGTATAATTTATGCAGGGAGTGGGGGGGCTTTGGAAAGCCAGCTTGATTGAGTACATGAAATTATCATTTTTATGGTGACTTCGTATTTATTATCATACATAACATTATGTTGAAAAATCCCCAAAAGGTACTGATGGGACGTGTGTTCTGTTCGGTGGTGCAACATGAGCGTTTATTGCACATGCAGGTTTCCGCAGGCCTGATAGGATGACTGCGGTCTGCTCTCCTTGGCCCAGAGTGCAGTAAATTGTGTAACTGTCTGTAACAGTTCCGGTCGGGCGCTGCCCCACGTGCCTGACCACCGTCCCACGGGCCCCAACGCCGCAGGGCGGGGCTTCTCTCCATGACCCACGTGCGTGTTGTCTGCCTCAGTGACGGGTCTGCGCAGAGAAGGGGCGGGGCCCCGTGACTGCGCCGGGTGCGTGAGGCAGGCTTGGCTTCCTCCTCTACGTCTGTAAGGGTCTGAATCTTCATACAAAACAATGACTAACTCATGTGCTTTCAGATCCTGACAGGAAAGATTGGGAAATAAACTTTCTTTTCTTTAAAGATTTTTTTTATTTTGAGACACGGAGGGAGAGAAGAAGAGAGGGAGAGGAACGTCCATGTGGTTGCCTCTTGTGCGCCCTCCACTGGGGACCTGGCCTGCAACCCAGGCCTGTGCCCTGACTGGGAATTGAACCGGTGACCCTTCAGTTTGCAGGCCGGTGCTCAGTCCGCAAAGCCACACCAGCCGGGGCCTTAAGTATAGTTTTGAACCTCGTGTTTGTGAGATGTGTTTTTGGCAACTGGATTTTGTCAGAGTTTCCTTAGGAAAAGCATTAGAATGATGATCCCTTGCCATGAGGGGAATGCGTGCATAGAGGGAAACGGGGCCCGACAAGCCAGCCACCGTCCTGCACCAAACCACCGCCGCGGTGCTGGAGCCATGCGCCCGGGGCTGGCAGAGGGACGTGGGCACCGCTCCTCATCACGGGGAGTGAGTTGGCCCTTCGGATCCCGAAGTCCAAGAAAATGCTCAGACTTGACTTGAGGGAGTTAGCAGCATAAATTTATTCTTAACTGACTCCGTGCGTGTTGACTGAGGGCTGTTCCGTGTTGGGCAATTCGTGTTGCTAATCGGCTGGAGTGGGGTGGGCAGGGTTCGGAAGGCATCGCCTGTTGTGGGCGGGGGAGGGCCGGCCAGCAAACAGAAGACATGCCGAGCGCGGTGGCTGATGGTGCAGGGCTGCCCAGCGGCCGTGCGAAGGCAGGCGCCCCCAACAGGCCCCGCCTCCAGTTGGAACCAAGCTTTGAAAGCCGTGTGTGTGTGTGTGTGTGTGTGTGTGTGTGTGTGAGAGAGAGAGAGAGAGAGAGAGAGAGAGAGAACAGGGGCTGTGTGCCAGGAGGGAGGGAGCAAAAGGGTGGGCAGAGGCAACAGGCGCTGGCGGCTCCAAGTGGCAGGCGCCCCCTCAGTGCAGGGGTTGGGGCTCCACAGGGGTAGGCCCTGAGCGGGGCTGTGTCACACCTGAGACCCCAGACCCCGTCCCTCTCTGTGACTCCTGAGACCCGTGTGGTCAGCGTTGTTCCCAAGGCTGCTGCAGAATGTGGGACGTGCCAGGTCAGGAAACAGTTACGGTGGGAGGTCATGAACGAGCAGCAGAGACGCGCCTAGTGCAGGGGGTCCATGCCGAAGGGGACGGCCCCACTGTGTGTGGGGTGGGGTCCAGGAGGGCAGGTAAGGTGATGGCGACAGTCCCCTCCTGTGGGAATGCTGCCAGTGGGCCTCCTTTACAGCACAAAACGGACACACCCATCCCATATGGCTCCCCTCGTGACCTGTGACAGTTGCTCAGCCTCACTTTGCCATAAAGGCGGGTTGGTGCGTTTTGAACATTCTGCGGGCAACTTTCCTTAATGGAATTTCCTTCTCTCCCAAAACTTTGTCAGAGCTGTCATATGCGTGGATCTTCAATGAGTATCCGACGTTCGTGCAAGAAGATGGCCGGAGGTTTGTCTCGCAGGAGACAGGCCACCTCTACATTGCCAAGGTGGAGCCGTCTGACGTAGGCAACTACACGTGTGTGGTGACCAGCACGGTGGCTGCCGGCAGAGTGCTGGGCGCGCCCACGCCACTGATGCTGCGAGCCGACGGTAAGGGGGCCCCAGGGGAAAGGGGCGAATGCAGGCAAAGACGTGGCAGGGGAGAGCAAACAGCATATCTTGAAGAGTTACCATTTCATTTGTTTCAGAACAGAGAATAATTACACGTGCAGGGTCTAAAATGACTCCCTGGGCCACAGGTCATGGTCACAGGCCTCCTGCAGGCACGGCGTCACCATGCACAGGGACCGGTGCAGCGTGGAAACCAGAGGCCCGTTACCCCGTTATTAAGCATTACCAGGCCGTGACCCATCACCCCAAGCCCAGGGCCCTGTGAGCCTGGCCCAAGGGGCTTCCCATGAAGTCGCCTGTCCTGACCTTCGCCAGCGTGAGGGACTTGGCCACAGGCTAAAAGGTCTTTTTGTAAAAAAAGAAAAAAGAAAAAACGTGAGCATTAGAGCCCCAGAACTTAATTCATCTTGTAACTGAAAGTGTGCGCCCTTTGATGAATGTGCCTCCATTTTCTCCACCACCAGAAGCACGGCGATCATAGTGCACAACGCTCTATCGTGTACTTGAAATTTGCTCAGGGAGCAGATATTCCGTGTTCTCACCACAAAAAAAAAAAAAAAAAAAAAAAAAGTTAAAAATTAATTTAAAATGTCCTGGCCAGTATGGTTGGTGTCATCCCACAAACCAAGACGTCGCTGGTTTGGTTCCCAGTCAGGGCACAGGCCTGGGTTGCAGGATCAATCCCCCGCTGGGGGCATGCAAGAGGCAGCGTTTCTCTCTCACATCACTGTTTCCCTCTCTCTGAAATAAAAATAAAATTTCAAAAAATTAAAAATTAGAAACGGTGTCTATGTGAGGGGCTCCCTGTGCCAACCAGGTTGAGAGAATCATTTCACACCAGGGACGTGTATCAAGTGACCACACTGGACAAGCTGAACACAGACAGTATCAGTCTGTCAGTCACCCCCCCACCTCGGGCGGCTCCCTCGGGTGGCTCCCTCGGCGACCCCGCGGGCCTCGGAGGAAGCAGGTCTGTGAGCCCGAGAACTGCCCGTTCACAGAGCCGCATCAGGCACGATGCAGGGCCAGGGCTGGTGCCCCGGGAGCACCTCCCGGTCGGCGGTAACTGGGTGGGACCTTCCCAGGCTCTGCGCTGCGGCTTCCTGTCTGCAGGGAGCCGTCTGCCAAGTCTGAGGTCAGTGTCCGCAGCACCAGGGTGCCACCCAGTAGATCCCAGCCATCCCTCCTCCTGAGGGCATTCTAAGAAGTCCGGGCGCATCGCGTGCTTCTGTGGGACAAACGTCCAAACTGGGTACCAGAGGCCAGAGGCACCCGTTTTATGTGGCATGCAGACTGTGCCGATTTTCTCAGATTTGCTCTGTAATCGGTGACGTAGGAATCTCAGGATCCGAGGACGGTTGTTAACGTGACGCTTTTGTCCCGAGGCCGCATGGCTTCTAAACGCACCCAGCGGGCGGGGGCGGGGAGACTGAGTACACCATCGGGGAGGCCCGTTCAAACCACTGCAAGAGTGGCATCGGTGGGGAAAAGGGGACGGTTCCGAAGGAAACGGTGCAGCTGTTCGCTTTGTGGGTTTGCAGGCGTCATGGGTGAATATGAACCGAAAATAGAAGTACAGTTTCCAGAAACTCTTCCATCTGCCAAAGGCTCCACCGTGAGACTGGAATGCTTCGCCCTGGGAAAGTGAGTTCCTCTGCGCCTGCCCGGCCTGCCAAGACGGGAGACCGGGGTCGTAGTTGGCAGACTCTTCTTTTCTGTGTTTCCTACTTTTTTTCCCCATTTAGAAGCAAAGGAAAAAGAAAATGTGGGGAAAATGTACATGTGTCATTGACTTCGAAACTTTAGATGCCCGCTTGCCTAGTTTTGTGAACTAAATCGGTGTTTTCCTTGTACATACAGTGAGCTGTGTTAGCGCTTTTACACTGAATCGGGGATGGAGGGGCGCAGCCTTGATCTTACTAGACCACCCACGAAGGGGCCCGCCCCGGGGCCGGGCTGTGCGGTGGGCCGCTGACGAGGCCCAGGGCCGCTTTCTCGACCCGAACCCGGGCTTCGCGTTGCTGAGCCGACCCGCGCCCGGCTCTCAGCAGCAGCACATGAGGCGACGCTTCTCTCCGCAGCCCGGTGCCCCGGATCTCCTGGCGGAGGGGCGACGGGCTGCCCTTTCCCGGGAAGGTCGCGCTGCGGAAGTCCAGCGGCCTGCTCGAGATCCCCAGCTTCCAGCAGGAGGACGCCGGCGCCTACGAGTGCATCGCCCAGAACGCCCGGGGCAGCAACGTGGCCAGGGGGCGCCTCACGTACTACGGTGGGTGTCCCCGGGGGCGTGGCGGCGCCACCGGCACGGCAGGCCCGATGTCCGGCCCGCCCCGCTTACGGTTAGGGTGAGCCTCCTGAGAGGGGTCGACAAGAACGAGAATTCTGTGGTGGGAGGCGTTGTTGTTCTTCTCTCATTTTAAAAGGGTTCCCATGGTAATGAAAGATTTCGCTGTTTCTCCCGACAGCAACCTTTTAGGCACTTAACCACATCAAAGGGAGGTGCCTTTTCTAGGAAGCGTGGTTCCATACTTTTATTGCCTGTGCTCAGCGGGCGGGAACTGCGGGGGGCAACCCCCACCGCTCCCCATGCCTGGGCCGGCTCCGCGGCGGCCCCGGCCCGTCCCTGCGACGCGGCTGCCCACGCCGCTGCCCGCGATCTGTCACCATGTTTATTTGACGAGCTATTCCTTCTGGAAGAGGAAAGGATAATGACGTTACCTCGGTTTAAAGTTCATTTGTAGGAAAATTAGATTTTCTTTCTATTCCAAACGTGTTTGCAAATACCTTTTATTAAAAATACCCTGGGTTTTTGATGGGAGCACACTGTAGAAAATACAAGTGGATGATTTTATAAAACATGCTGTGAAATCACGGGCCTGGAAGCCAGAGAATCTGTGGGCAGCGTGATCATTAGAAACATTATAAACGCATGGGAATTGGCCGCTTTGCAAAAGGAAAATTGCATCACAGTCTATTTATCCCTGAAGCTGGGAATTGAAGCAGGTTGCGGCGCCGTGTAGCACAGGTGGACCCTGCGGGGGGGAAGTTCGCAGAGGCGCACGTCACAGCGACACGGTTTATTCTGATCCCCCCGAGGAAGACGAGCCGTGTGCACGTGCCTCGGCGGCCACCCGGTCGACACTGCCGTGCCCTGTAAGACGCCCGGACCGTCAGGAACAGCGCGGAGGCTGCTGAGGGTGACCTTGCCTCTTCGCGCACGTGGGTTGGCAGGCGCAGGTGCCGGGTCCCCGTGCGGGCGGGACAGACGGAGTCGGCCGGGGGCGCCTCCCCGTGTAGCTCCAGCTCTCAGGCCACCCCAAAGCGAGCGCGCGCTCCTCCTAGGTTAGCTCTTCCTCCCAAGCAGCGGCGGCCGCTCCACGAGCTCCCAGGGTGGCCCCGCCGGCTCACTGTGTCCCGGGGAGGGCGTAGCTGCGCAGAACAACCCCCCACAAGTCAGCAGGAAACGTGACAGGACGAGAAACCCGAAGCCAAGCGGGCACCCGGCTGCCTTAGTTCAGCCCTGGCTCCTCATCTCTGTGACGTCTGCTGCTGTTTTCGTCTGTCTCTCCCCTTTCTCTGCATGTCAGTTCCCGGAGAGGCACGATGTGGCTGCCACCGGTGGCCGGCACAGCTGCCCTCGTGCACCCTTCCTTTCTCTAAGACGCCTCCAATGCCCCTCTCCCGCCCCGCTGGCCCCGGGCTGACCGCTGAAACCGTCACCTCCACGGGGACTGGCCTTAGACGGAGCAGGAATAAGGTCAGGCTTTCCTGGATTTTAGGGACGAAGAGAGGTGGTGGAAGAGAGGACGCGTCATGAAAAATCGGGTTATTTTGGGAGTAAACAAGGGGGAGGGGAGGCACCGCAGGTGACCCCGTATCCGCTATGCTGAGTCCGGGCGGCCCGCGCGCCCTGAGCCCGTTGTGTGACGGCCGCGCCCCGGGCGTCAGTGAGATACAGTTTCGCGGAAGTAACTGCAGTTACCTGCTCTCTGCCCTCGTATTCCATGTAGAAAAGATGGCCTGACAGAACGTTGGGGTCTCATCGGACGGAGTAAGGGGGCATCGCAGTTAACAGGCAGCTGGCGGCCGGGCAGGCTTGTCCGGCAAACAGCCCATCACGCGGGGAAGGAGGGGAGCGAGGCCACCTGCGGGGATCCTCCTGCAAGCCGGGGGTCGGTTGGGCGCGCGAGGCCTGGCTGCTGTCTCGGTCCCTCTAGGCCGGGGGGTTCTGAAAGAAGAAAACGTGTTTTAATGGAAAGAAGGGATTGGGGACTGCGTTATCCTTCAGAGTGGGCAGGTAGTTTATGTATTAAAAAAAGAAAAAATGAAATAAGCCAAAACTTAGGTTCAATTTCTCTAAAAAGCTGAACAGCTGTATTTCCATTTCAATCTCATTTTTTGAGAAAGCAATTTTATGAGCTAGAAATGGAAAGGCAGGTTTTCCCATGGTTGCAGTTAAGTGGAGTTGGATAAACTGCGTCTCCCCATGGGGTGCTGACGTGAGCCCCCCGGCCACCCGCACATGCACACGCGTGACCCGTGAGACATCCCACCCCCGGCGTGGGCCCTGAGACCCACTGGGCCTGCGACTGGGCCGAGCACGCTGCGTGCTGAGTGGCTTCCATTGGAGGTGGCGTGTGCTTTTATCTGTAAAGTAATTTTCCGAATAGCATCTTCTAAGTGAGAGTGATAAATCCACTTGCAGCCGATTTGCATACATAATTGGAGGTGCGTGGGTTCCACCTTTTTCATAAAACCTCGTGTGATTCAGAGACAAGCAGCGTATCCGCCGTCCCTGCTTGTGTTTTAATTAGCGCTGAGGACCGTGCGAGGCTCGCTGGTCTGTATTTAATGAAGAGTTATTTCTAACGGGAAGGAAATGCCTTTTCCTCAGCTACAGAAGTTCCTCTTCTGTGGACGAGAAATTCTAGTGTGTAAGTCGGACCAGCGTCTGCCGCCATTCAGGAGGGAGTTGTCCCCCGTGGCAACCTCGTGACTCAAACGGCGCGTGGAGGTGAAAATCTGTCCTGTGCACCTGTGTCGCCGTCTACGAACAGACACCAGAACGGCACAGGGACACAGAACCCGAAGGCAGACAGAGCAGGAAGGGCTGGGCTTGGGAAGTGCCAGGTCGCCACCTCCCTCCTCAGACCCAGAGACGCCTCTGAGGCCGCACCGGGAGCGACGTGCTCTCATCACCCCCGCCCGCGGCGGGAGGGCTGAGGCGTGTTCTCATTGCAGCGAAGCCACACTGGGCGCAGCTCATCCGGGACGTGGAGGCCTCCGTGCAGGACACACTGCGCTGGGAGTGCCGGGCCAGCGGGAAGCCCAGACCCTCCTACCGCTGGCTGAAGAACGGGGAGGCCCTGGCCCTGGAGGTGAGGCGCCGGCCGGCCCGCCCTTGGCCCCGTGCGGGGGGCGCCCCGAGCCTCCCTCCTGGGGGTGGACGCCCGGCCGCCGGGGTGGGGGCCCTAACCTCGCGTCCCCCGGAGGGGCAGCGTTGTGACTTCAGCCTGTGAAGCGGCAGACACACTTCCGGTTTGAAGGTTTGAAGTTCGAGGACGGCTTCCTTCAGGGAAGCGGAGGACGCGGCTCCCTTTTTCCGTGCGGCGCCGGGCGCGGCTTCTGGAGGTGAACGCGTGTCTCACCTCCTCGCCCGGAAGCTCGAGCGCGGGTTCTCCCAGTCACTCCCTTCTCGGGCCGTGCGGTCCTTGCAAAGGCACTACGGTCCCTTCACGTGTCCCTACGCAACGTTTCATACGACCTAGAAGCCCTTCATAAATGGGTGTTTCCCAGAACCTGTGTCGTGCGCAGAATTCCTAGCGTCTTCAATGGGCCTGATTGTAGAAGTGGGGAAAGCCTCCCCGGTCACCCAGCTGGAAGTGACGCGGCGTCAGCCCCGAGGGGGCGCGGGGGCTGCCTGGCTCCCCGACACGCCTCTGCGATGCAGGACGTTCGCAGCGTTTCCGCTGCGTGGCTGTTGGGCTGGCATCGGCCACGCCCGTTCGGGCGCGGAAGGGTTTGCATTCCGAGCTGGCCGTCGGACGGCGCGCGGAAACGGGGGGGGGGCGGGTGTCGTCGCCCACCGGTGGCTCTCGCTGTCCTGCCGAGGCGGCGCCGCCGTGTGTGTGCAGACGTTCTCCTCCCCGTCTAGGAGAGGATTCAGCTGGAAAACGGCGCCCTCACCATCACGAACCTCACCGTGGCGGATTCCGGAATGTTCCAGTGCATAGCGGAGAACAAGCACGGGCTCATCTACTCCAGCGCCGAGCTCAAGGTCGTGGGTAAGACTCGGCCTCTCCTGTCTTGTTATTTTCCTTAAGTGCTCCCTTTGGCTGGCAGCAGACACGTTCACTTTCACATGCCTGCATCCGATAAGGTTCCAGCAGGGTTGGTCGGGGTTCCTGGTCAAGCTGCCGTCGGTGACCTCTCAGGAGAGCGGGGGTCACGGCCGAGTGAGGCTGCAGCTGGGAGCCAGCGCGGACGGTGGCCTCCTGTCCCCAGGCCACCGTCACACGGAGCAGCCCCTGTCTGGGGGAGCGTGCAGCTCTGGGGCTCTCAGCTGGGGCCGCGGGAGGACAGCCCCAGTTCCAGGCGGCCGCTTACGGCCTGAAAGGAGCGGCCTCGCCTGCTGTCGCGCTGCCGGACGTGTCCAGCTAGGCCTGATGCGCTCAGTGGGCGAGGCGCCGACTGGGGAGCCTGGGCCCCGCTCCTTCCTGCCCTCGGGGTCTCGGGGAAGTGGGCTGTCGTCTTCGTGGAACTAATTTGCACAGGAGTCCTGTGATCGGTGTCGTTAACTTGAGTGCACTCAGGATGGAGCGAGTTTAAACTGTCGTTAAAATTTCCACGTAGGACAATTGTCTCAAGGGCTAGAACTGGGCAGAAAAGGCCGCAGTGGGAGTTGATGGGACGTGGACACAGGGCGTGTGGCGCTCCTGGAGCAGGTGAACCAGCCCGGCAGGTTCCGTGTGGCCAGACACGCCACAAGTGGCCACGCAGAGCCTGCCTGTGGAGGGCGCGGACGCTGAGCCCTCCTCCTCCCTCCCCGCCCTCCACCCTCCGCAGCTGCCGCCCCCGACTTCTCCAGCGCGCCCCTGAGGAAGCTGGCACGCGTGCAGGTGGGCAGCGAGGTGGCCCTGGACTGCCGGCCCCGCGCCTCGCCCCGGGCCCGGGCCTCCTGGAAGAGAGGCGAGGCAGCCGTGCGCGAGGACGGAAGGTACCCCCCCAGCCCCTGCCCCCCGGCCCCCACACAGGGACCCGTCGGCCGAGAACAGCCGGGGAGCCCGGCGCCGTACGTCGCTGTGTACAATGCACACCCACATTTTCGGCCCAAACTTCCAGGAAAAAAGTCTTTCATTTTAATTTTCTAATTCAGTTATTTATTTATCTATATTTAGAAAACTTGTTTTTTGTGATACAAAGAAATTTTAGTATTTATTTTTAAACACACAGATATTGTTATTACTTTCCAGAATTACAGTTTTAACACATGAGCATAAAGAGTTAAAAAAACATTTATACAGATACATAATTAGAACTACCCATTTATAACGTGCATCCTTATTTTTCCCTCAAAGCTTTGGACAAAAGCGTGCGCATTGTACGTGACAAAATACAGGATTTCAGTTACTTGGCCAGCAGCCGCGTTGGCTGGGAACAGCACCGGGGCGCACGCCCGGCACGTCGGGGGTGGGGCGCGGGGACCGAGGGCCCGGCCCCAGAGAAGCGGGAGCTGGGGGCGCTCGGGGGGAGTCGGGGGCCGGGGCCACCGCAGCATCGGCCGTTGTCACTTTGCTGCGCGAGGAGCTGCGCCCGGCCAGGTGCGGCCCGGGGACGGGCCACGGGCAGGACGAGGGCCGCGGTCTCACCGGGAAACCTGCGACTGCGCGGCAGCGCCCGACAGCAGGTCACGCGGGGGAAGGGCAGTGCCGGCGGCTGAGGGTTGCGCCTCGGTGGGGCGTTGTCCCGGCTGCCTGGGGGGCCCCAGCAGGCGCCTGAGCACCGAGAAGGGAACAGGAGAGCAGGCGGCGCTCGGAAGGTGTCCGGGCACCAGTGCGGGGCGGGGGGCTGGCGGAGCGAGGGTTAGTGGAGTCGGCGTGGGCTCGGCGTCTCGGGGTGCTGGGCCCTGTGACTGGGCGCCCGTGACTTGGTCTGCGGCCGAAACCACGCTGGGCACCCCTCCGCCTGGCAGGTCCGTTGGGGCTGCTCAGAAGCCCATTCTGGGGGCAAATGGACTCATTGACGGACTTGAAAATATAAGAGAAGGCAGAAGTTTTTGCCGGGGTGTTGATGGCAAGATTGAAAACCCATCAGTTTTGTAGGGTTTCTTTGTCCTGGTTGTTTTGGGGCATGAACGGGGCTTTTCCAGCGACTACAAAGCTCCTGGGGAACATAAACGCCTTCTCTGGCCGCGCAGGGGCTGCTGGTAGCAAATACGCTTTGGGTTAAGCCAATATGTGGATGTATGATACAGGCACATAGATAAATGTATCATATCTAGGTCACTCCATCTGTCTGTCAGTATCCGTCTGTCTACGGGCCTGTGGTTTTTTCTGTCTGTAGCATCATTCGAACCTTAGAGCAGAAAAAGACACCTGAGAACTGAACGTCCCCGTGAGGGCTGACGCCTGCGTCCCCCGTGTGAGTCAGACGGCACGTCGGCGTCACTGGTGTCCTCCTGGGGCGTGAGCCTTCATTCAGCACGGGGTCAGCTTGTAACGGGGCCCCAAGTCGCTGAGGCTCCTGAATGGCAGGACAGCGCTGGAGAAGCCAGCGCAGTTGCTTTCAAGGCGCGCGCGCCTTCCCAGCCGAGGGGACGAGGGATTAGCTCCGGACCAGGCCTCCGAAGTGCTGCTCTGGGCCAAGGAGGGCTCCGCGTGCACGGAGCGCCGCCTGCCCTCTCCGCACCAGCGCCCCCTGCCCTGTGGAAACACTGGGCGTGCCAGCCCCTCGCAGAGGTGCCCGTGCCGCTGCTCTCGGCTCCCCAGGGTCTGGGAAGGCGGCGCAGGCCGTCGTGTGAGGCTCAGCTGGGGATGTGCAGGGCCCTCAGCGGCTCCCCCCCACGGCCGCCTCCGGGCCAGGCGTGGCCAGCCCTCGGGCGAGACAGCCTCTCAGTGCGACAGAGGTGCCCAGGCTCCCAGAAAGGCAGGCCCGGCAGCGGGTGCTCCCTGCCCCACGTGGATGGGCTGTGGGAGGGGAGGGGCCGGCGCGGAGCTGGGTCACAGTGCAGGACCCGGCTGCCGAGTCCCCGGGCCTAGGCTTTGGCCCACAGCCACCGGCAGCGACAGAGTCGGTCGCAGTGGCAAAGTCAGATCAAACTTCTGTTCAAAAAACCCACAGTGGTGGCGGTGGGGTGCGGAGCCCCCGGCAAAGTGCGGCCTGGCCCACTCCAAAGGCGGTGGGAACAGAGGTGGGGGCAGGGGTTGAGTCAGCTGCTCGTTGGCGCCAATCAGCTGAAGATTTAAGCGACGCGAAGACAGATGGAGTCGGGGTGAGTCCTCAGTCTCTGGCGTGGGCTCCCGTAGGGTGCGCAGAGGGGCGACCTGCTCAGGAAGACGGGACTGGAGGGAGGGGGCGGGACACGGCGCCCGGTCACCTTCGGTCTGCAGGCGGCCGAGCTGGGGGCGCCCCTTGAAGACCCAGCCGGACGTGCCCGTGCACTGGGAGGCTGCGTGAATCGGGGACCGGGGAGCGAGGCCCAAGCGCAGGTGGACGGCGGCGGCCGCGGGCGGCGCGCGGGGTCGTCCTGGCTGGTGCCCGTCAGTGCGCGGTGCCCGGGCGGGGCCGCCGGGCCCTGGGCTGACGGCTCTGAGACGCGGGCGGGAGGGCCGTCCTCACAGCCCCGTCTGCGCGTCCAGTGGTTACGATTTATAAGCAGTGAGTTCCCTGTCGCCGTCCGTCGAAGGCCAGCATGACCCCCAGGTGGACAGGCAGACTGAACCCGACTCTGCCGGCGTCGGCGGGGGGCGGAGCGGTTTGGTTTGGCTTGGGGGTTGGCTGGTTTTGCTTTGTATTTTCTCTGCGTATTTTTCATGATCGAGAAGAAGTAGTTACGCCTCTGTCCCTGCTGGAAGCACACTTTCCAAACAACGGCAGGCCCTTTCCTGTGCATTTATGCGTTTCCTCAAATCCACGTTTTCAAGACTGGAATTAAAATGGGAGGTTTTTTCCTCCTTTCAGCAAAGTGAAATTGAAAAGGCCCCAGAGAATGTACACAGGCCTGGTTCGCAAGAAGGAATCAGCCATTGGCATGTGTTAAAGGCTGTTTAGCTTTCCTGTGTCACTTAGTGGTATTTAAAATGCATTCACCAATTACTTCTGAAAGTGGGGCTTTCACGTGGATGCGGTTGCCTGTGCTGGTAGGTGTTTCATCGCAGTGGCCTCAAGTTGTTTATGTTCCGTGCAGCATTTAACACTACGGAAATTTAAGTGCTTTTAAAAGGGGAAAATAGGAAAGATTTTTCCCCAAATATGAACAGCCATGATGCAGACCATGATTTAAAAGTGTAACCAATTCTCAACGCATTTTTTTGCATATAGTTAGAAGCTGGCTTTTAAAGTGCAACACATGTTGCAGGCTGTAGGATTCTGTTTCGGCGGTGTTCCTGAAAAAGGCGCCGCTTCGGGGACAGAAAAGAGCCCTCGCTGCTTGCCCGGGCGGGGGTGGGTGGGGTGACCGCCGGGGTCCTGGGGGTTTGGGGCAGGGGCTTGCCCTGGTTCTCGGCTGCGACCGGGTTTGCACGGCCTCGTTTGTTTGTTAAACTCGCAGAGCCGTGCGCCGGAAGGGGCCTTCGACTCCACGGAGACACCTTGATCTCCTTCCACAGAAGCGTCCTCGCAGCCCCGGCCCCTCCTTCCGACGTCCCATGTGGCCTCACGCGGTTTGGAAGCTCCCAGCGCCTCCCCTTGCCTTTCAGGAGGCGCTGAGCTGTCTGCTTGGGAGACCACTTGGGGGCAGAATCTGAACTTGCGCCTGGCAGCGGGTGACTGGGCCGGGGCGAGGCCCCCTGGCGAGGTGCCTGCCGCCGCTCCCGTGGGTGGAGCCCCCCGCCCCCCGCCCCCCTCGGGCTCTGGGACGGAGAGGGAGGGCCTGTGTGCGGAGCAGTTTCCCTGTGGCCCCCTCCCATTGACTCTCAGTTCTCGGCTCTCCTCTCTCCCTCTCTCTCCCCCCATCAGAATCTGCGGGTCCCCACACATTCAGGCGGCCTCTCCCTGTCTGCCCGCCGCCCCATCATCCCCTTAACCTCCTTGGGCCCAGGTGCGCCCCCCGCCATGGCGAGTCTGGGCGCGTCCAGCCTCAGGCACGGCCCGCGGCCCGGCGAGCCCTCCGCCCCTGCCCCCGGACCCGCGAGGGCGTCTCTCACCGCTGGCCTTTGCGGAGCAGAGGCATTGTGTGCAGTGCTGGTTGGGCAGAGATCCGTGTCCCACGTCCTGCCTGCAGGGAGGGCACCCACGCTGCCCGCTTGCCCACCCCGTGGGGACAGCGCCCAGTTCGGGCCATGCGCCCGTGAGTGAGAAACGGCGCGAGCCCCCGCAGCCCCGCCGCCTGCGTGGGACGTGGGAAGCCTGGCATCGGCTGCACGGGGGGACCCCGGGACTCTCCAGCCCGGGGCATCTGGGAAGAGAAAGGGGTGCCGTTAGCGGCAGCCTCCAGGACGGCTGGGACGGGCCCAGGAGACGGAACGCGGCCGCGTCTGCAGCGCAGGCGGCTGCCATGGAGGGGTCCACAGGCGCCGTGGGAGACGGAGGTCGGCTGCGTCTGGGCCCTGGGTGGTGGGGGAGCGGCTCCCCGGGGAAGAAGCGGCCTCGGAGCTGTGTCTCCACGTCCGTGCAGGCGAGCAAAGCGGGAGCGTAGAGAACACCGTGGAGCGAGCGACTGCGTGGCCCTGCGGGGAAGGCGGGCGTCTCTCCCAGACGTCAGGCTCACACACGGCCAGGAAGCCGCAAAAGCACCACCTGAGTCCTTCCCCAGACGGCAAGCTGGGAGTGGACGCCAGGCCTGGCAGACCCAGGCCCTCGTTCTGTGGGTCCCTCGCGTCACTCTGGGCCCCGCGGCGACCTCGCAGAGCAAGGCCGGCACGGCCCCTCCTGGAGTGCTCGCCGAAGGCACACACAGTTTGCAGCGAGGGCAGGAAGATACCTCGGTGCAGTTTCCCAGGACAGGCTTTCTCCAGGAAGTGACTTCGGGCGGAGAAGGGAGAGCCAAGAAGCCCAGGGCCAGGCCGAGAGCTGGAAGAGCCTCCTTCCAGGGAGGGATGTGGCAGGAACCAAGGCCGGGGCAGCGGCGGGGGGTGGACCTCCAGAACCAGGAGGGAGCCTGGAGTGTCCTCGACGCCCACGCAGAGCGGCAGGGAGAGGAGGAGAGGGCAAGCGGGGCCGAGTCCAGGCCGGGGACCCCGGGGTCCGTGGTAAAAATGTTGGCGCTGTTGGAAACAGGATAAGCAGGCGGCGGAAGGGCGAACGCCAGCTGTGCCAGGGCCTGGCGGGGCGGGTTCCGGCGGGGGTGTAGCTGAGAGCCAGTGAGGGGCAGCTTGGAGTCAGCGGCTTGCGGGGGCCAGGCGACGTGGAGGAATGAATGGGGGTGACGCGGCGGGTCTCGCGGTCCGCGCGGGGTGCATGTGCCCCTCGGGGACAGCTCCACGCCGGAGGCCGTGTCGGACGTTGGACAGTGGGCGTGGACCACGTGCGTCCCCGCTGGCCCCTCAACTGAAGTCCCCACAGGACCGGCTCCTTCTCACACATCCCACGTTTTCCAAAACACTCGACCTTGAAAGAGCTCACCAAATTGAGTTCATTTCATTCGTTCTTGGATATTTTCCCACGTACCTATCGTTTTCTTAATTTATTGCAACTATTTCTTAGAATTGCATAAAATTGATTTTTTTACTAGATTTCTACTTGAGACTTCGTATCAAAAATAGGGAAAGCGCTGTTCCCGGATGTCCTCCCCCGCCCCCCACAGCTCCTGGCCAGCCTGGGGGTGGCCGCGCAGACGACGGGTGGGTGGAGGAGGGGCTGGATGATGCCCGCGTCCTCCGCAGTTCACGCCCGTTCCGTCCGCTGGACTGAGCTGTGCGCCGAGTTGAACTCGCCCAGAATTTCCTCACAAGAGCACAACCAGGATGCCGGTGGGAGAGAGGAGCGGGCTGTTGAGGGAACACGCGTGTATATACCCGTGTATAAAAACACAGAAGACATAGCTGGTATAGTTTTGATACATAGACTCGGACGAATCACATTTCTGACGCCCATAAAAATCTGGCCACGAGTGGACAACGCTCAGAGGCTGAGTTGCGAGCCTCCGCGCTGGTCCCGCGTGCTCAGCGTCCTCGCCCATCCCATGCCACGCGGCCCACAGGCGGGAGGCGGCCCTGGGCCCTGCTCGGCATCGTCCAGACGCTGGGCTGCAACGTCCTGTGGAAGATCACCGCCAGCCCTCCGGGGAAAAATGACATTCGTGTATCACACCTGTGAACCGTGAGAGGAAAAGGGCCTGCCAGGCACCAAGTGCGTGGCATCAGTGGTCCTGACGTCAGGAACTAAAAGACGGGGAAATAACGAGGATCGCAAAGAGGCGCAGCAAAGATTCTGGGTGGGGCTGCGGGCGGGCGGGCAGGCCCTCCTCGTTCGTTCTCGGCTCCCGTGACGCCTGCTCGGCGAGGCTCCCCGCGGCTCCCCGCGGCCCCCACTCCCCGTCGTTCCCCCTCGCCGTGTCCTGAGAGCATGTTACGCAGGCAGGAACTCACCTGTTCCCCGTGGCCCCGGGCAAGTGGCCTCCTGCCTGGCTCACAGCGCCCAGCGTGTAGAAGGTGCCGGCTGGCGTTTCCCACCAACCACTCAGGGGCCCGAGCTGGGAGGGTCCGGAGCTCACGGTGACAATGCTGATTCTCTTCCGTGAAATCTGGGTTCTCCCGGCTCACACGGCCTCTCCCAGGTTCCTAATAAAAGGCCAGTGGGTTTGCTGTTTCTCATACACTGTTTCAGATTGAGGAGAAATAGCCTCCTATCTACTTGTAATTTCCCCCAAACTGTCACACCGTGTGTTTTTGGAAAGTATTTCACACTCATTTGATGAAGAAATCTCCCAGATGAGGTGTGGTGCCCAGTAGCGCTGAGCGAGGTCGGGGGGCGGGGGGGCGGGTGTCGGTTGTAGCATCTTCCCCCTCAGCAGGTGTGTGTGCTGAAACTTTGTTTCATTTTCTTAATTTCCTTTCCAAAGAAGGGAACAGCTGGTTTACTGGCCTTAAAAGTACCCGCTTAAGGCAACACTTCTGTTTAAAGACTTGATATTTATTTGGGGGGAAATGTGACTGCCATATGTTTATTAACTAACCTGTATGTCCTTTAGAATTTCTCTCTTAAAAGACGGAGGCCTCAAAATAGCCAATGTGACAAAAGCCGATGCCGGGACGTACACCTGCTTCGCAGAGAACCAGTTCGGCAGAGCCAACGCGTCCACACGCCTGGTTGTCACAGGTGGGCGAATGTCACACAGGTGCGCCGCGTGCGCGTCGCGGTCCGGGAGGAGAAGGACTGCACGGCAGGCCGTGCCCTCCCAGGTGGGGGGGCGGCAGAGGCCGGCGCGTGGCGGGGAGAGAAGGGGAGGCCGAGGGCAGAAGCCGCCGAGCTGTAGACACGCAGCATGGACAGAGTCAGGGCCAGCGGAGGTCGGGCCGCGGGCAGGGGGTGTGGGGGAGGGGACGGGCACAGGGCGCCAACGCTGCCTCCAGGTCCATGCGGGGGACTCTGGGGGCCTTGACGGGGGCAGGTGGGCCGTCGCAGGGCTGCTAGAACGGAGTAAGGGGGAATCGAGTAGAGGAGGCGCAGTCAGCGTACTTGAGTGACTGTCAAAGGCCTTTGCTGCAACACAGGACCAACGAAATGGGGAAGGTGCGGCCAAAGGGTTCGACCCACACAGGCCACGGTGGGGGCGCCGTGTCCACGAGGACGTCGGCGAGGGGGCAGGTTGACGCGCCGGCCTCGTCTCCCACTCTGTGCCTGCTCGGAGCGCCCTGTGCCGCTCTCCGCCGGGTGGGTTTGACAGAGCCCTCCCCCTCCAGGCCGAGCAGGGGACGCGGCGGCTCGCTTTGCCGCTGCGCCTCGCGGGGCCATGAGTCTCCCTCGAGCCCGACTGGGTGGGAGCTTCGTGCCTGTTGTTTACAGGGGGCTCCCATTTTTAAACACGTGTGTCCTGTGAATTCAGATATTCCTCTAATGAGAATTTGCGGATCCAAGGAAAGGCCCTGTAGATACACATAAGAGTGTCCGCTGAACCTTGAAAGTGTCAATTATGAAGACAGGTGCGCCCCCCTCCGTGCGCACCCGGGCGTTGCCGCCCGCGTTAGATGGGCCCCCCGCCTGGGCGCGCCGCTGCCGTCACGTGACAGCCGGGGGCGGGGCTTGCCTGAAACCGCACCGTTGCCCCCAGAGCCCACGCGGATGACGGTGGCGCCGTCCGGCCTGGACGTGGTCGTGGGTGAGAGTGTCCTGCTGCCCTGCCAGGTGCGGCACGACCCCCTGCTGCGCGTGGCCTTCACCTGGTACGTCAACGGCGCCCTCGCCGACTTCGCGAAGGACGCGTCCCACCTGGAGAAGGTCGGCGGGGTAAGTCCTTCCGCCGCCCCCGTGGACGCGCGCGTGGGCGGCTCCGGGAATGCCTGTCCCCTGCGTGATGGGCGCCCGGGTCGGCTGACGCCGAACGGAGCTCCTGGGGTCACTGGAAAGGGAGCCCCCCTGCTCCAACTAGGAAAGGCCGTTCTCGTTAAAACCGGGCCCAGACCTCGCCGTCTCTGACAGTTCCGCGTTAGCGGCGCACGGAAGGGACAGGGCCGCGCAGTTTGTTGCGAACGTGACGAGCTGATAAGGAAGCTGAACGCGTCCCCTCCGCCAGCGGCTCCTTGCTGTCCAGCCAGCGGCCGCATCGCGGCCAGTCCCCCGCGGGCGCCGAGCGTGAATGGCAACATTGCCGTTTGCAGGGACACAGGGGTTCGAGGAGCGTGTCAACCCGCCAGCGTCACGGGGCGTGGAAGCGCTGCCGCCCAGACTCAGGCGGAACACAGATACCACCCGGCATTCCGCTGTCTCCTCCTCCGTGACGGTCCCACCCGCCCGGGCACCGATCGGGACGTCTAACGCGTCAGGGTGTCAGCCACACGCGCCAGGGCCGAGGGTTCGATCCCCGGTCAGGGCACGTGGAAGAACCAACCGCAAATGCGTCAGGGAGCGGAACAACACATCAGTGTTTCTCTCTCTCTCGCCCTCTCTCTCAATCAATCAATCAGTAAGTTTAAGCTAAGAGACTTCAGATTTCGAGGAGGCATGGAGACCTCGTGCGGACCGTGAGGCTGCGCCTGGCACCGGAGACGCCCTGCTTGCTGGTGGCTTCGTCCTTCTTGCTGAGACTCAGCGTTGCACAGGGGGTCTGGGTGTTGTCCTTTGGCCAGGACAGCGTGGCGGCCGGCTCAGCAGGACGCATTTGACCGGGATCTCTTAGGAAGCGCGAGTCTCTCTATCCACGGGCACACACTGCCTGTTAGGGTCACAGGCAGCTGAAAGGGATGCTGTTTTCCCTGGTCCCCTGAGCCACTCCAGCAAACCACGGAACCCAGGGCTGAGCGCCATTGATCCCCGACTGACAGCCGTCAGTCAGAAGCACCGGTGACATGGTGACTCGCGGTCGGTGTCTCGGCGGGGCCGCCATGTGGCGCTGAGCCGCTCACTGACCTGTGGGCATGACGCCCACTCCACACAGGTGGTGTCAGAACCGAAGTGAAGCACAGACGCTCCGCTGGGCCGGGAGGGAGGGGCGCTCACGCCTGGCTGGCAGCGTGCTGTTGTGTGTTCTCGGCGTGGGCACGCTGTGCCCCGCAGCTGGGACCCGCGCGCGGACGCACACACGAGCTCTGGGTTCCGCTGCTTCCGAGGCGGCACCGATGGGTCCTCACGGGACCGCCTGTTCCGCCTTTTCTTGGGTCTTTCACACAGTTTCTAGAATTTTCTGTGTTCCTCCCACCATGCAGTTTTGCAGACCTGGTCTCTTTCCAGAGAACTCTCTGCTCCTGGAGAGGGCGTTTGTCAAAAGTGCGGGGTGGCTCCAGCAACTCCAGGGAGGGGCCGAGTGCGTGAGGCCGCGGGGGGAGGAACGTGGCCCTGCCGTTCCCGTGCCATTTGCCCCTCGCCCCAGCGCCGGGGTCGGGACGGTTGCCTCGAGCAGTCGTTGGCGGGACACACAGTGCAGCCACTTGAAGTGTGCGGTCGAGGGGTCTGGGGTCTATTCACTGGATTTTTCACCGTTCGCCAGCATCAGTGGTAGAATATCTTCCTTCGTTCAAGAAGAGGCCTCACGCCCTTGCCAGGCTCCGCCCCGCCCCCGCCCCAGCGGCCTGCGCCCCCGGTCCTGTCTCCGTGTTCGCCTTCCGGGCGCTTCCTGTCGACAGGGTCCTCTGTGCGTGCAGGGTGGGGAGGCAGCGGGTGCGCCGGGGACCGCACCGCTGTGACGGAAGGCGCCTGTGCTCACCGAGCTCAGTGACGGGGTCGGGGAGCCCACCGTCCTGAGGCCGGAGGTCCGCTCGGCCGCCGCCTCCCCAGGTTTGCGGGCCGGGGCTCGTCCGTGGTGCCGCTTCTCTGCCGCGTCCAAGGAGAGCTGCGGGTTTCCCTCTGTCGGCTCCCGCGTCCCGGGGGGATGGATCCCTGAGGCTCGGCTGCCTCTGTGCTGGCCGGGTGGGCCGGGCTGCGCCACGCTGCTCCCTCGCCGTTGTGGAGCCGAAGCTGTTACGCTGGCTGAGATCTTTACGCTCCGGTTTCAGAAAGAAATTCATTCACTTTTGAAGACGCAACGTTTTCTTATGCCATTGAATGGCTGTGAACATGAGTCAGAAAGTGAAGAATAAACAGTTCATTTGGGGCAATTTAAAACAGGACAAAGTCAGGACATTTTTTATTACAGTAAATACCGTGCTCTTTAAACTGTTTTTTATACTGTCTTTAAAATTCTAGATCATGCTTTTCACCAGAAAAAATCGTCTAATGAGTGTCATCGTTAACAGGAAACCTAGTTCTTCTTCCCTTGGCTAAAACCAGGAATGAGACGCGCGCCCCGGGAGGCCCCGGGGGCTGGGCCACATGGCCGACGGGCGTGCGAGGGGCCGGGGGCCGTGCAGGCCCGGCCTGGGGTTTTTCAGCTCTTGATCCAGTTGCTCAAGACAGCCCCGCAGGCAAGAGCGTAGGTGAGCGAACACCCCACGTGCATGGCTGGCCTGCAGGGAGCAGCCGAGGGAAAGCCGGGGTGAGGGGTCTCCTCACCTCCTCACGCATGGCCTGACCCCCGACGGGGCAGGAGGGTCGCGGGGGGCACCGGGGTGGGGGTGCACGCCGAGGTTTGCAGCAGGGACGTCAGCGACTTCCCTCCCACACGTTTGCCCAAGGACAGGCGTGTGCCTGTGCAGGGGACACTCTCAGGAAGGGATTTGCGGGGTCGGAATCATGCAAATGTCCCGCCTTCTAAGGTACCTAAACGGCTTCCTGGGGCGGCTGCCCCACCCACAAGTGCACGCCTGCCGCCTCCCCCTGCCCCGCGAGTAACAGGCCCAGTCGCCCCACATTCACAACAAGACTTCCGTTGCGCCTGTCGCTCTGGGGTCACCTGCACAGGGCAGGTGCTGTGTGACCTTATGTATTCTTACGCTAAACTTTCTGGATTTGTGAAAATAACTTGTCAGCACGTACATATCTGTCCCCTGAAGCGGGTTCACGTCCGGAAGCAGCGATCGTGCGCTGGAAGCTGCTTGAGTGGCCCGAGCGCGGCTGCGCTGCTCTGAGTCGTGTGCGGCACCCGCCGAGGACAGCGCGAGGCAGGGAGGCCGCGGGGAAGAGGACAGCACAGCACGGGAAGACTTGCCTGAGAGGCCGAAGCTGCGGCGCGTGTCTGGCCTAGATTTTGCTAAGTTTTTCGTTTATGGATTCATCCATCCAACGTCACGTCGGTGCTTGAAAAAGAACCAGGGTTCCCGCAGTCCCCACGTCTCAGTTCAGTGCTCCCCTGCCCCGCTGCACAGCGTGAAGAGGTGATCGCGGCCCCCAGCCCGGACGCCGCCCCGCACCGCAGGGCCTCGGGACGGTGGTCGGCTGGAGCGCAGGCCGGCGACCGCGCTTCTCCTGCCGCCGGGCAGGCCACCAAAGTGATGAAGTGGCACCGCGTGCCCGGGCGGCGCCCACCTGGGTCCAGGGACGCACAGAAAGCCCTGTCCATCCTCCGGTTCCCAGATGCCGGCGGAGAGCTGAGTAAACCTAGAGAAGAAGAGGAGCACTTGGCAACGCCGCCTCGGCAGAATCAGACACGGGAGGGGGGTTTCTGTGGAAACCGCGCGAGCGCGCAAGCTCCTGCGGCGCGAAGGTGCCCTCAGCGGCAGCCGGGAGGTCTGGCTGGAGGGGAGTTTCTGAATGACGCTGAGGAGGAGACAGAGAGGGGGAGAGAGACACGGTTCAACCTGGTGAGAAGGAAATGTGCAAAGGGAACAGTCCCTGGATTATCATTTAATTGCTACCATCAATCACCCCGCACCTGCCTTCCGCGGGGACGCGGGGGACCCGGCCTGCAGACGGGGCGCGGCTGCCGAGGGCGGAGGCGGTGGTAACTGAGCGCCCGCCGGGAGCGCAGGGAATTGCCGAAAGCAGGGCGGGGGAGCCCGTCTGTCGACCAGCCCCAGAAAAACTGAGCGTCAACTCACCTGTTAATAAACCAGATAAACGCTGTCGCCCCATCTTCCGCGCCGCCGGCTTAGAGATTTCCAGAAAGCGGGCACTTTCAAAGGGCTCTGCTTTCTGAGCTGTTTTATATCAATCCGGGTTTTTACTAACGCATGAACCTGGCCTGCAGTTAGTCATTTTATGAATGTGAATTTACCTTCTTTTAAAACGAGGACCATTTGACGCTGAGCTTTGTAACGACATGGGCTCTATTAGTCGGTGCTGAGGGGCCAGCAGACTTGTGATGGACGCTGATTGCTTTAGGGTTTAACCCGATCTAATTTCTCCTGATCGAGGGGCTCGTAGTGACGGCGCCCACATTCTGCAGGGAGGGTGGATCCAGTGGCCCTCGGCGAGTAGCCCCGCGTGGTCTCCCTGCAGCTGACTCTCCTCCCCCCCCCGCCCCCCCGAGACCAACAGCCTGTTCTCGGGGCGTGCGCAGAGCTGGGATGTGAAGAAGAGGGCGCGGGCGCTGAGCGAGGATACGCAGGGAAGTGTCGCCTGGCGGAAGGAAGGAAGTAGGACCCGAGGCCGCAAGCCCTGCCCTCGTTTATCCTTGGAGAGGGTGACACCCGGGGGCGTTGCTGGCCGTTTGGCCTGGACAGTCCGGCCCGGGCGCCACCAGTTCCTGCTCCCCCACGCTCTGCCGGTCCGTCTGCGCCCGCCTCCCCCACGCAGCCTCCTTGTGGGGCACAGGCGCCCCCTGCCAGGGGGGCGCTGCCCGCAGCTGCCACGACCTCTCCGCTGGCGGAGCGCACGCTCAGTACGTGTTGTCCCGGCAGAGCTCGTCGGGCGACCTGCTGATCAGGAACATCCAGCTGAAGCACAGCGGGCGGTACGTCTGCGTGGCGCAGAGCGGCGTGGACAGCGTCTCCTCGGCCGCCGACCTCGTCGTGAGAGGTAGCCCCCTGCGTGCCCCGCGCCCAGCGCCGCGCCTCACCTGAGCCCCTGCTGGTGCGGGGAGCACCGGGGCTCGCGGGCTCTGGTACCGCCCTGCCCCTGCCCCCCAAGAACGTGGCGGGAGCGATGGGGGAGGATTCAGGGAAAGCAGCACCTCGCCTGGCCTTGCACAGCCTCGCGGCAGCAGGTGCCCCACGGCGGCCGCCTGGCCGGCGGGAGCGTCCTTCACCCAGCGATCGTGTTTACCAGGGAAGGGAACCATGACTGTGCGTGTGGGTGCGTGTGGGTGTGTGTGCATGCACGCGTGTCGGTGTGAGAGAGAAACTCCAGGAGAGCCAGGGTCGCCTGGAATGTGCCGGGCGATCTCGGCTGCTGTCCAAGGTACCGGTTTGCCCCTGGGCCGGAAAGGGACCCCCAAGCCCCAGAGGGTAAAGCAGCCCAGGCGGGCGGGCAGAGGGGACGGCGTCACAGCCACATTGAAGGACACGGCCCGTGGAGAGGCAGGGGACCCCGAGCCGAGGCCGCAGAGAGCTGGCGCCGGTGCCGTGTGGGGTGCTCAGATTTCGGAAGCACCGCCTCACGTTCTCACTGAAGCTCTAACCCCAGAGATTGGGGGGGCGGGAGGGCGGCTTCGTTGCAGGTGGGTGGCCTTTTCCCGGTGCTTCGGAGGCTGGGAGCCATGGGGGGTACGGCCTGGCCCGGCGACGCATCCTCCCCTGGGCGGAGGGGGCGGCGTGAGCGGAGCTGCTCCCCACCGTGGGCTTCCCGCCCTGCGCAGGGTCCCCCGGGCCACCCGAGAACGTGAAGGTGGAGGAGATCACAGACACCACCGCCCAGCTCTCGTGGGAGGAAGGCGCCGACAACCACAGCCCCGTCACGTCCTACTCCGTCCAGGCGAGGACCCCCTTCTCCGTGGGCTGGCAGGCCGCCACGACCGGTACGGGGGCGGGGAGCCGCGGGCCTGCAGCCCACCCCACTCAGCGCCTAGCCCGCCAGCGCCCCAGCCCCCCGGCCCTCAGCCGCCCAGCCTCCGGCCCCCAGCCTCCCGGCCCCCGGCCCCCAGCCGCCGGCCCTCAGCGCCCGGCCCCCAGCCTCCCAGCCCCCCGGCCCTCAGCCCCCCGGCCTCCGGCCCTCAGCGCCCCAGCGCCCCGGCCCCCCGCCCTCAGCGCCCCGCCCGCCCCCTGCAGTGCCCGAGCTCATCGACGGGAAGACCCTCACAGCGACAGTGGTCGGGCTGAACCCGTGGGTGGAGTACGAATTCCGGGTGGTAGCCAGCAACAAAATCGGAGGTGGAGAGCCCAGTTTACCCTCAGAAAAAGTAAGGACTGAAGAGGCAGGTCAGTGTTTCGTTTCCTGAGTAACGGGTTGCCAGGTCCCAGGGTGGGTCCCCAGGCGGCAGGCGCCGCCTCACAGTCCATGGCGGCAGTGACCGCCCCCGGCAGGACTGCGGACGGGCCACGTGGCGGCGGCCCAAAGGCCCGCGGGGACGCGGTTCGGGCACAGCGTGACGAGTCCCAAGCCCGGGGGTCGCGGCGCCCGCGGGCGCTCACGGAGCGAACGCGGCTTTGTCACTGTGGTGGCAGTTGCTCGGCCCCCCCGCTGCTGGGGAGGGGAAGCGCTGGCGTCCTGTGCAAGGAGCGCTGAGGGGTGCGGCGCCAGCAGGGGGGGCCACGGAGGGGCGTGTCGGGGCCCCTCGGGTGTGAAGTTGGGGGAGAACCGTCGCTCGGGGTCCCCAGTGGGGAAGCCGCTGGGGGTAAATGAAAGACAGTCTTCATTCTGAAGGTGCCTGAACGTCACCGCTGTGCCCGATGTCACGTCACGGGGGCATCTGGGAGGACGGGGAGGCTTCCCCCTCAGCGTCGGAGATAGTGCGCGATATTCGGTAAAGTGACGTTTCAAATATGCCGTCACGTCAGTGCGGGGACCGAGCCCCGTGGGAACCGTGGCCTGGGTCTCATTGATTGGAACGTTGCCGTTTTACTCAGAATGACACAGGTCACACTGATGTGTTGGGGACGTAGGGGACCGTGTCTGCGAGGTGCTGTGGCCGCGGACCCACGTGACCCATGGAGGGCGTGTCTGCCGGGGGCCCTGCACTTTCTCGACACGGTGCCCGCAGCTGGGAGCTGACAGCCGGCGCGTCTGGTGCCTTCACAGTGCTGGGCTCCCCAGCACAAGGCCTGCGAACCGTGAGCGAGCGGGTGTCAGTGTGAGGCCCGGGGACAGCCACTCGTCACAGGACGTGCTGGCACTTGCATGTAAAGCCGCTGTTGATGGAGAATTACAGCAGCCTCATATGTCACCCCCAGTGAAATCGCTGTCCGGGTGTTATGGGCCTTCAGGCTGAGCCATTTTTCTTACTGTTTGAATGTTTGGTACCATCAGGCAAATGGAAACGATGTAACGATTTCCCTCCAGACACATACAGCGACCCTTGAGCAAGTGGGGCCCCGTCCCCGCCCGGCGCACGGTCCCCGTGTAACTTCCAAGTCTCCAAAACCTTAAGTTGCAGCTCAGGACCCCCCGGGGACAGTTCAGGGCCTGGTGGCCACCGAGCTCGGGGGACGCGCCAGGCTCTGGGGAAATGTGGCAGATCGATGCGCCCGTGGACTCCAGCCGTGGGCGGGGACCGCGCAGGCGCTCGCGAGGGAAAGCCCGTGTCCGCGCGCCACTGCCCGAGTTGCTCCAGGGTCGCTGTGTGCACACGCAGGCGCGCGTGTCGCCTGCAGACGCACACGTGCGTGTAAGACGTGCCGACGATCGAGTGGCTTCAGAGACCGGAACAGAGCCAGCATCCCGCGGGGCCTCACCTCCTCTCTCACCTCTCAGCTCCTGAAGCGCCCCCTGCCGAGGTCAGCGGAGGAGGCGGAAGCCGGTCCGAGCTGGTGATCACGTGGGACGTGAGTGCCTGGGCGGCCTCGGCCCCCCCGCCCCCCCTTTCCCCGCAGCCTCCGGGCCTCCCGCCCCCCCGCCCACCCCCGCCCACCCCCGAGGCCGGGGCGGGACCGGGGCCCCGCTGGCAGCTGGGCTCTGGCGGAGCCCCCTGTGCTGCTGAGCACTGTTCTGACCAGTTTGCATGGTTTGAAGTCGCACCCTTGCAGCGTTTTACAGACAAAACGCTGAGGCGCAGAGCCGTTGAGTGACTCGCCCGCGGCCACTGGGCTGGCAGACCAAGGGGGAGAGTCAGGTCGTGGTCGTTGACCGTCCAGCTGGTCTTGCGGGTGCCTGCAGCCACGGCGCCGGCCTCCCTGCCGTTCTCTCGGCCGCTGTGTGGCCTCACAATGGGCAGTGATTTTAATGAACACGTTTCAAGCCGGAAGGCACCAGCCTTGTCTGTTACTGGGAGATGCTGTGGAAAAAAGTAGGGGTCTCTGTCCAAAGTTTTCATGTGACCCAAATGCAGCGAGGAGTTTCATACGCTGTTCTCACTTCCTTTTTCTCTAGTTTTACTTTTTGGGGCTTAATTATCACATCAGCGTGGGGACCGGATGGTTCTTACTTGGCGTAAGAGACGAGGCTCCCGGCTCGTTGTTGCCGCCCTCGTTCAGAACTCGGGCTGGGACTTCGGGAGGTCGCACAGTCCGCGCCCCGAGAGCCGGGCTGGGACGGCCGTGCCGTGCGTCCGCACCCAGGCGGTTTCCCCGCGGCTCGCAGGCCGCCTCGCGCTGCAGCCCCTCCCCAGCCCCCCGCCCCCCCGCCCCCGAGGAGCGCGGCGGCCGGCCGGCCCGCTGACGGGCCCTGTCTCCCCTCCAGCCGGTCCCCGAGGAGCTGCAGAACGGGGACGGCTTCGGGTACGTCGTCGCCTTCCGCCCCCTGGGAGTCACCAACTGGATCCAGACCGTGGTCACGTCCCCGGACGCCCCCAGATACGTCTTCCGGAACGAGAGCATCGCACCGTTCTCCCCTTACGAAGTGAAAGTGGGCGTGTACAACAACCGGGGGGAGGGGCCCTTCAGCCCCGTGGCGACCGTGTTCTCCGCCGAGGAAGGTACGAGGTGCGAGCTGGGCCGCGGTTCCTCGTGGCATCAGGCCTGTCCCCTCGGGGTCCCTCAGGTTCCCAGGGACATGCATGCGGGACTCAGGGCCCCTGGACTGGAGACGCTGCGGGCGGTGGGCGCGTCACCGTCGGTGACCGTGGGTTCAGGGAACGCGCTGAGGCCCGGCTGGCAGAGCATCGCCTCCGGGCCGGGAGGAGGCGGTTCCCCGGGGAGCAGCCTGGTCTCGCGCGTCCCAGTGACGTGACCGTGACGAGCCAGGAGCGGAGCGGGGGCCTGGCGGGGGCTCTTCGCCGCCCTCGGCCTTCATTTCCCCGCCCCCGCCCGGCAGCGCCTGGGGCGACTTCGCTGCTGTCAGCCGCCCCCGGGGGTCACAGCCTGTGCCTGGCGAGCGCCACAGCGGTGCCTGGGGGTCGGCGCCGGCCGCGGCCCCACGTGACCTCGTCGGGCCCTCCCGGGGGGCCTGCAGGGGGCGCGGGCGTTCTCGTTTGCACGTGGGACTATGGGAGCTTGCGCGAGACGTCGATGAACGTGCCCGGACCCGCCGCCTCGCTGGGCCCGCACCGTGACCCAGGCCTCCGCGCGGAGCCACGCTGGGCTCGAGTGTCCCTGCGTCCCCTGTCTCCTCCGCTGCCCGCGGCCGCCACCCCAAGGACAGCGAGCGCCTCCGTGGAGCTTCGCGCCCCTCGCCCAGTGTCCCCTTTCTTGGCCGAGTAGAAAAACAAACGTGTATCACGAGCGGCTCTGACAGAAGAGCTTTTCTCGTTGCGTGCAGGCCCGGTCCACGCAGGCTGGGACTTCCGGGGCCAGCGCACGGCGGGGCCCAGGAGGGGCTCCCGTTAAGCAGGGGCTTCGCGGCACCCTGGCCCAGAGGGTGTTGGGGGCGCAGCCACGGCCTGGCCGCCCGCCGCCCCCACACGTCCCTCCTCTGTCCCCATCCCTGCCGCCCCTGAGGGCTCGGTGAGGCCTGTGTCAGACACGGGTGGCCCTCGTCCGTGGGAACAGTGAGGGATTCACTGGAAACGTCTGGGGCCGCTCACCGAATCAGGGGAACAGGTCCTCAGGAAGCCTCGCCAGGAGCCTCCGTCAGAGGGGCCCGCGACGGCCGTCCCCAGCGCACCCCTTGCCTTCCCAAACCAGGCTGCGTGTTCCCGGGAGGAACCCCTGGGCGGCCCGGCCCGGCCCGGGGCGCTGCCTCGGCGTCAGTCGGCCGCGGCGCCGAGCAGGGCCAGCTACGAACGCGGCCGGGTCGCGGGAGCGCGTCTCTGCTCAGGGCTGCGCGGAGCGGGGGGGCCTGCTGCCAGGGGGCCTCCGACCACATGTGTCCTCGCTTTGGAAGATGCCCCCTCCCAGGTCAGGGTGCGGGGGACCTGGGCCCGAGAAGCACCTCGCGAGATGCTGAGAGGAAAGATGGAGTCTGTAGCCCTTGGCCGTTGCTAAGAAGCGATACCCAGTAGCATTTGTGGCCACGCGGTGCCCAGGCGGGAGCTGGGGGGAGCGGCGCTGGACAGAGAGAATGGAGGGAAGGGGGTGGAGGGGCTCACAGGCCAGCCCGGGGTGGGGCGCCCAGGCCGCGGTGGCCTGACCAGGCCGACCGGTGGCCCTGATGCCGTCGGGCCATGAGCGACGGAAACCGGCCGGCATCTCCGTGTGTGACGTGGTTCACGTTTTCACGTGTTTTAAGCGACTGTTCCATAAACTTCCCAGTACATTAAAATGTTTTCCAAAAGCCGGAACGTCAGTGGATTTTTTAAACACACTACCAAATTAAAATTGCGTTTCCCCTTGTGTCCCCTGCCAGAGCCCGCGGCCGCGCCCGCGCAGGTCTCTGCGGAGAGCCTGTCTGCCTCAGAAATCGAGGTGTCGTGGGGCGCCGTCCCTTGGAAGCTCAGCAGCGGCCGGTTGCTCGGCTACGAGGTGAGTTCTCGGAAAGCGCGTCCGCTCCCGTCCGGGCGGCGCCATGTCCCCGGGAGCCTCTTCCACGGCGGCGTCGCGGCGAGGGCCTGGCTTGTGGCGAAGCCCCCGCAGCACATGGGCGCGTGGGGGCGTCCGCGGGTGTCGCGTTGAACGCAGCGAGTTGAGTGCGGGCGCCTCTAGTTGGGTGAGAAAGAAGAGGTGCCCACAGGAAGGAAAGGGGCCTTAGGCAGGGCCCGGTGCCGGGGACGGGGGGCCCAGGAGCAGGCGGCGGCCGCGACCCGGGGGGCGCGGAGTGGGGCCTGGGAGGGAGGGCGTCCGTGGGGCGGACGCGGGCCTGGCCCACGGGGTGCGGGGGGCCCGCAGACGACGGTGCCCGTGGCCGGTGGCCTCAGAGAGGACCGCGCCCCGGCCACGGCAGCCCGCTGACCAGGCCCGTGTCCAGCGGGAGCCGGGAGCGGAGCAGGACGAAAACCGAAGCCTTGAGACGCCTGCCCTCGGCGGTGACGCTGGAGCTCGCGGTTGCAACTTCGTCCCAGGCGCAGCCGCCTGCCCTCGCGCCTGTGTGTCCTGGGTCGGTGGCACGTGGCAGGCACGTCTGCAGCCCGGACAAGCAGAGCCTCAGACGCCTGCCCCCGGGGGCCCTTGGCCGAAGGCAGCGACTCAGGGATAGCGAAGCTGAGCCGACTGGACGCTGGGCTGACGAGAGCGATGCAGACACCGCAGTCGCCGGTGGACCTCGGGGACGGGTCAGGTCACGGCTTCCCGAGCTCGGGTCACGAGCGAGCAGGGCAAGGCGGACGGATGGACGGACGCCTGAGCAGCCTGCGGGAGGGAGGGGCCCGCCGTGTCCCTCTCAGTGAACCTGAGGGACTTCCTGTGCCTTCTGCCCGCGTGAGTATGAGCGATGGAACGGAGCGAGGCCGGGCCGGCGACGTGACATACAGGCGTGTCCGAGGGCCACAGCCGTCAGGTTTGGCCATGCTTTTAGCTGAAGACGAGCTCCCAGAACCGTCCTGGACCCGCCACCCCCGAACACCTGGGGACGGGCCTCGTGCGTGGGCCCCACAGCACGCACCTGTGGGGCGCCCTCCCGCGCAGCGAGCACAGGGCATGGCCCCGAGCTGTCTGGAGCCCAGGAGCACGGAGCTGGGGGAGGAAGGGCCGCAGATCACACGGCGGAGCCGCCGCGTCAGCGCGCCCAGGGCCCGGAGCCGAGCGTGGGAGTTCCCTCCGCCCGTGGCTGTGAGCGTGGGCCCCAAGGTGGCGGCTGCCGCAGCGGCTCCGCCCGCACTAGGAGCCGCTTTGCCAGGACACGTGCAGGGAACCAAGGAGCACCCGTGACAGAGTGGCCCTGAGGTCACACCTGGGCCACCCCCGATTCGCCACTCACGGCTGTGCTGGGGCGTCACGTCAACTCTGAGCGTCCCTCCTGTCCCCCGCAGAATGGGGACCGCAGGCCCGAGCTCACGGGAACGGGCGGGGCTCGATGAGAAGACAGGATGCGGGCCTCCCGCGCTCTGGCCGAGCCACGGGGTCAGCAGCAGGAGCTGCTCTGGGGCAGTTTCCGCGATACCCGCTGACAGGCTCCTCCCGGTGAACGTTCTCAAGTCTTGGGCACCAAGCTGCTGGCCTCTGGGGAACCTGGGGACAGTCGTCACCGCGGTTCCAGCAGGGTCCCCCCCGTCCGAACTTGGTGTCCCAAGCGCAGGCCGTGGCGGATTTGTTAACTGTGCTCTGGAGAGCAACGGGAGGAAACGTCATCGAGGAAGGTGCGCAGGAGAGACTCCGGGTGACCCTGGAGGGGACACAGCAGGGAGGTGACGCGGTCCCTGCCCACCCCTGCCGAGCTGGACGCCCAGGCCGGCGGCGGGACCACAGGGCATGGCCCCGGCTGTGGGACTGATGGCCAGGCCCTGCCGCTGCAGGTCAGCCGCCTGGGCAGGGCTCCGGGAACGGCGACCCCGCTGTGACCGCGGGGGAATTTCTGGTTCTCTGAGCAGGACGTGGGACCCAGAGGCAAATAAATTTATGTAAATGAACGTGGTTCCTGCTCCGACACACACCGAGGTGCACGCCCCCTGTTGGTGGCTCAGCCCTTTATGAACCACCGGGCTGGGCGGCCGTTTCTGACCCTGCCGCAGCTCGGGACCCAGTTCAGAGGAGGACACAGAGGGGCGGGCTCCGTGGGCGGCCGCGCGCCGCGGGGACGTCCGCAGCCCCCGGAGGGGACCGCGTGAGGGCAAGCCGCAGGTCCAAGTCTGTTGTTGGACGTACAAATGGAAGCTGATAAGGAGGGTGTTCTCCAAGGGGGCAGCCTTTGCCGCTGTCGCCGCGTCGGGAAAGGCGTCCACGGGACGGGAGAACCGACCGACGCACACAGGGACGCGTCCACACCGCGTTGGGGCTGCAGGCCGGCGCGGGTCCTCCAGGACGGGGGTCGGCTCCCGGGGAGTGGGGCCCTTCTGTCCGCCCGCCCGTCCATCCATCTGTCCATCCATCCACGGGCGTTGGCCACGGACCGGGAGCCGTCGGGGGAGCCGGCACGGCTCGTGTCAGGCGAGGGGTTGCTTCCACGCGGCCGTGCGGCCTCGCGCCTGGGACTGGCGCCCGCCCTCCAGAGCCGTCGCAATGGAGATGGCGGTCGTAAACAGCTGAACTCACAGCCGTTGTCAGGCGGCCGGAAGAGACTCGGGCGACCTCCCCGTTTCTGTTCTGAATCTGGGGCCGCGGGGTCGATTCCCGGGGCACCCGGTGAAATGAGGCGGAAACGGCAGGACCCGCGTGTGTGACTCGGGCCAGGTCTCCGCTGCATTGCGCTTTTTCTGTTGGGGGAGGGGCAGGGTGCGGCCCCGGGGGAGGGGGCCCTGGGGGCCCCTCACAGCTGCCGCCTGCATCCGAGCAGCAGGCCGGCCACCGCAGGGGCCGACCGCCATCCCCACAGGGTGACAGCGTCCCTCCCCGGGGCTCGTGACGCTGCGAAGAGACCAGAGACGGGCTCAGACGAAGATGGCCTGACTGGGGACAGCTGCAGAAGAGACGGGCGTAATTGTACCAAGGAGAAAACAGATGTTTTCACCGCGGGCGTGACGACTGAGACGCCAACCCGGGAGCCTGAACGGCCCCGCAGCGCACGCAGTTCCCAGTGGAGGGCGGGCTGCCGGGGGCCACCCCCCACCACCGCGGCCCTGGCCCTGTCCGGCGGCCCCGCGAGGGCTGCGGGCACCTTCCGGGCTGGTCGTCCCTGTGCCGCGGGACGGAAGGAAGGGAGCCCGTGACAAAGAGAAGGCAGAGCTTTGAGCTCACGTTCGGGGGGCGGGGGACGCCAGGGGCCCGCGCTGTTGGGAGGCCGCGTCCTGCAGCGCGTCTGCGTCTGGGGGGGGCAGAGCTCGGGAGTCTGACCTTGGTCAGCGACTGAAGCAGGAGCCGCGCCGGCGGAGCGTCCAGCGCCGCTCGGTTTGCAGAGCCTGGGAGAGGTTTTAAGCGTCCGGCAGGGAACATCCCTAAAACCGCGTGCAGGTTTTCAGACGGAAACCTCGCGGCCGCCTGCGCCCAGCTCCCGTCCCAGCAGCTGTGCGGAATGTGTTTGCTTCCTAACATTTTAATTGGAGTGGGAAAAAGGTGTCAAATAGTGGAGGAGGTTTCTGAGAACATGAAAATCCCACCGGGAAGAAGAGACACCGATGTCGAGTCTAGTTCTCGGTTCCCAGGCAGAGGGCCAGCGTCACTCTGGAGCAGACGGAGACGAGAGAGGCCTGCAGACGGGTTTGCACAAACGGGCGGCAGAAGGAAGCCCCGGGCGGGTTTGTTCTGCCACCGACGGCGGCGGCCACACGTGAGCTGGGCGGCCCCAGCGGAGCCGCGTGCCTGCCGGGCAGAGGCTGTTCCTGCCAGACCCCAGTGCGGCTCCGAGGGACTCCCCCCGTTCCCACCTCCTGCCTCCATTCCCAGCCCCGAGAGAGGTCAGAGGGCGAGGGCCTCCTGGGACTGAGGCCCCGGTGAAGAAGGAGAAGAAAACGTAGATGCGGTTTCTCGTCTAAAACTCCGTCGGACACATTTTGCCGGCCCGATGTTTATTTGGATGTGTTTGGTCTCGCAGCGGAATTGAAGCACTTGTCTCTGCGAACCTGTAAGCGCAGACGGAGCTATTTCAGTCTGTGAAAATAGCGTGTGAGACTTAATATCTGAACTTCAATGGCAAGAAAAGGTGCTGTTTTTCAGTGCGTTATTTTCATAAGCTGCACTTCATTTCAGGTTGAAATCACTTTTACAAAGCGCGTGTCGTCGTAAGTTTACATTAAGTGCGGTCTCGGGAGCAGCGGCACACGGGGCTCCTTCCGGGGCTGCTGGCTTTCGGAACGACCAGGCCTGTGCGGAAGCAGAGCTCGCGGTTGGGATCCCTGCGTCCTCGGCCTGTGCCTGTTCACTCACCCACGTGCGCCCCCTGCTGGGGACCTGGCCCGCAGCCCAGGCCTGTGCCCTGACTGGGAATAGAACTGGCGACCCTTTAGTTCGCAGGCCGGCGCTCAGTCCACGAAGCTGCACCAGCTGGGGCAGATTTGTGCAGTTTTTAAAGTCAAACCATTTGAGATGATAGAATCAATTTTAACTAATATCATGTTCAGTCTGGCACCATTTTCTCCCCGTTTAAACCTGTCTACGTGATCGTGACCATGGAGATCTAAAATCACGTCTGGTTCTGCTGCGCGATCGGCCACCAGACCCTCCGGCCCCTTCTGGGGACGGACGACGTGTCGAAGGGCTTCCGAGGGCCCGGGGGCCGGTGTTCCGCTCCAGCCCGTTCCCTACGGAGCAGGGCTTGGGGCTTCTGACGAGGGAATTTCACACAGAAACGGGGTGACCATGGATCAGAGCCGGGCCGGCGACCCTGGCTGCCTCGCGTCACCCTCAAAGCTGCCCCCCAGTGTCCCTGTCCCTGAGTGTCCCCCACGGTCACTCGATTGTTACTCAACAAACGACTGAACTTTCTGGGAAAGCCCAGCAGGACCTTGCGGCAGAAATTGCAGGTAGTTAAGGAGCGTGTGTTTTTACCGTGTTTTTTCCTGCCCTTTTTTCTTTTAAATCAAGGATTCTCATTAACGGATTCTTACCTGTCGAACTCCATGTGCATCCATTTTTATGCGCAGTCTGGGCCGCCCTGCACAGCGTGTCCTCTGTCCCCTCGCTAGGCTCGCCCCCGTGGCACCCGGCGCACCCTACGAGTCCCCCGGTTTTCCCCGCGCACTTGCTTATCACCTGTCTCCTCGAGACCCTGTCCGGGAGCCTCAGGGCCCAGCGCCCGAGGCGGCAGAGTGTGCTCGCGAGGACAGGCACGTGCCAGGGCGCCGCGTCGGTCGGGGTCCTGGGCGCGAGGTGGCTTCTGTCCCTCTCTGCCCGCAGGTGCGGTACTGGAGCAGCGGAGAGGAGGGCTCGCCACGCAGAGTCACGGTGGCGGCCGGCGAGACATCAGCCCGGCTCCGCGGCCTGGGGAGCCACCGCGCCTACCACGCCGCCGTCCGGGCGTTCAACAGCGCGGGCACCGGGCCCTTCAGCCCCACGGTGAACGCCACCACCAAGAAGACGCGTGCGTAGCTTCTGTGCCAGGCAGGGGCGGGGCTGTGGGTCTGGGGGGACAGGCCACGTCGGGCGGCCCCGCGCGATCTGGCACCCTGGGCCCTCGGGCCACCTTCTGGCAAGCTCCCTGTGCGGCTTCGCTCAAGTCCATCCGCTGACCCACTCGATCGCTTTCTTTCCCTGCATTTTCTGTTCCCTGTCCCTTGAGGGTTTCTAGTAAGTGTGAAAAGCTTCAGGTTCATGTCAGCGATCGGGAGTGGTGTCTCCTTGTCTCCTGCTCTGGGGCAGCAGTGGGGGGCGGGGGCGTCGGAGGCGGCCCCGCGGGCACCTCAGCGCTTGCAGTAAAACCCGGCCGGACACCAGCGCGGCCTGGACGCCGCGTCTCCGTGAGCCGCGCGCACGGGCCCCACAGCCCCTCACGCGCGTCAGCGGCCGTCCGCGGTCCCGCGCCGTCGTCAGGGCCGAGCACACACGCGTGTGTGTGATCTCCACACCGCGTCGCCCCGTCTCACCGCACGGCTGTTGGAAGGGCCACTGTCATCATTGCCGCCGCCGCCAGCCCTTGAGAACGGCCCACGTGCCTCACGCCTGGGCCGCGTTCCAGCCTCAACGCGGCCGCCGGGGGCCCTGTTCTGTGCCCGGGCGAGGGCTGGGCAGGAGGCGGCTCTCACAACCGTTTGTTCCTCGTGCCTGCAGAAAACTCTTCGCATTTTCAAAACGTATTAACTCAGTAAAAACGTGTGCGTGACTGGCTTTCGGTGGGAAAGACCCGGACTTTTTGCTTGACTGCCGCCCGTGAGCGACTGCTGTGTCCGTCCGTGAGTCCCCAGTTTGAAGGAGAACGTGCATTTGTTGGCTGAAACCGCTGAGGACTCCGATCGTGCAAAACGGACCGTCGTGGCTTCGGTCGCAGACAGCCCAAAGTGTATAGAAAGCGCCGTTTTAGTACTTCGGGTTTTGATTAAGTTAATTTGTCCAGGAAGTTCAGATGTTTATCTTCGCGTTTTCTATAGAAAGAGTTGGGCTGCCCCCTCGCTAGGTAATGAGGTTGTGGGGCGAAAGTTTGCCAACAAACCATTTTTGCCCCTTGAACAGTGTACGTTTGTGAACGACCGGCTAATGTGGTCATTAAGTTTGTCCTTTGCCAGTGACTCGGGAAAGTGGGACCCACTCTCCCATTCCCAGCCCAGGGGTGGGGTCAGGCCCGGAAACGTCCCCGCTGCACGGGTGGCGTCCCCAACATCGATTCCGAGTGAGTGAGACTTAAATACACGTCGCTGTGCGTTCAGAGCACAGCACCCGTCAAAAGGTCTGATTGCAAAAGCAGGCGCCCCCAGGTTTACCTGGCTCTTCCCCGAGCAGTGGGAATGAGCACCTTTGAGGAGGAACCTGTCACCCTTTCCCGGTGCCACCCGCGTTCCGCACGTCACCGTGGCACCTCGCTCCTGCACCCCCCGCGCCGCCGAGGCGGCCGCTCTGCTCCCGGGTGGTGCCCCCACGCTCAGCCCTGTGCTGACCTCCCCCTTCCTCCCCCAGCGCCCAGCCAGCCGCCCGGCAACGTGGTCTGGAACGCGACAGGCGCGAAGGTCCTGCTGAGCTGGGAGCAGGTCCGCGCCGCGGAGAACGAGTCGGAGGTGACCGGCTACAAGGTGAGCGAGCGGCTCGCGGGCTGCGGCCCCTTCCCCGCCCCGGGCGGCCTGGCAGATTCCCTCCCCTCCGTGCGGGCGACCCGGCCCCTCCTGCCCCCTAACGCTGGCATGCCCACGTCCCGTCTTTCAGTAAAAGGGCACTTTTCCAAACCATCGGGTTCCTTAAGTGCAATTCAAGAGAAGTAATTCTCCTCCTCGCAGAGGCCAAGATGTTTGTGAGTTGCTTATGCTGGTTTCCTGCACCCAGTCCTGTCCGTGCGGGACATTGAAAGCAGCGCTGGCTCTGACCCCAGTCTGGTGACCCCCCTCCGGGCGCGGGGCTGCCCCCCAGACGCCCGGCCGGCCCAGCCCCCCGCCACGGAGCCCTTCCCTCTGCCCAGCTCGGGGCCTGCGGGCGAGGTGGTGACGTCCCGGCCGAGCTGACAGCGTGAACGAGGTCCGAGCGGCGTGTCCCGGGAAGCCGTGGAGCGGGCCCGTGACGCCCGCCTGTCCCGCATTCCAGGTTTTCTACCAGACGAGCGGCCGGGATGACGTGCGGGTGCTGAACACAAACAGGACGTCGGCCGAGCTGCTGCTTCCCGTCCAGGGCGCCTACATCGTCCACGTCCGGGCGACGACCGACGGAGGGGACGGGGCCAGCAGCGAGCCCGTCAGGATCCCCTGGACGACCAGTAAGGGCCTGGCCGGCGCGGCCTCGGCGCAGCCTCCGTGCCCGACCCGGGACCCCGCGGCGCCGGGCATCTGTCCGCCCCTTTCCCGCCGCGTGCCCGTGAGGAGGAGGGGCCTGGGGCCTTGTACAGGTCGTGCAAAATTAGAGCTCTGCGACCCGAAAGACAGGAAAGTTAGCAAGGATTCAGCACAACTGTGAATTTGAATGTTTTCCTCATTTTGAGCTTGACTCTGCCTTTGGGTCGAATATAAAAGCCGAATTCTTTAAGGGCGATCCTGAACCCACAGACTCTTAAGATTTTTTAATATTCAAATTGTTTGCTCTCTAGAAATCATAGCTAAAACTTACCAATTCTTTAAAAAAGTAGGAAAAAGATAACATTATTAAGATCATAAACCACTTGAGCAAACCGAAAACACCTTCTTAAAAAAAATTTTTAGTTTCTGTTTTCAAAAGAGGTTCACGTTCCCTTTCCCTTTAAAAATTCAGATGTGACCTGTTTTATTGTGGCAATAAACTTTCGGAGGGAAACAGACTTGGTTTGTATTATATCAGTGACCACGGTGGAAGAAACATTTCCTTCTAAATCGCGAGTCTGGCGTTCTCAGGCCTCACGCTGAGCGCGGCTGACCCTTGACCTGTGCAGGCGGGACCTGCCGGGGTTCACGCTCCTGCAGACTTGAGCCCGGCCCGGTTCCGGCCGCGCAGGGCGGCCCCTCAGCCCCCGTCTTGCCCAGGCCACGGTGCCACTGGAGCCTCGTGGCTGCTCTGCCGGTGTCAGCGGCATGATCGGCGGGGTCCCTGCCTTTCACCGAGCCCGGCTGGCCCAGGCCCCGGTGTCCGCACTCAAGGTTGAAGCCCCCCCACAGCCTGGGAGGACTCGGCACAGCATCGCTGGCTGATGGGGAGCGAGGGAGGGGGTGCGGAGACGGGGGGAACCTCGTCGTCCTGTGAATCTTGAAGACTGTGATGCTGAGGTTCCAGGAATAACTGAGCCGCCCTCAGAAAATGAGAAGTTCTTATCTCAGAACAGGGCTCTGCAGCGTAAAACCTGTGGAAACCACGTGAGGCAGCAGATCTTCCCGAAAGGGCACATCAGAGCAAGGCCAGGAGTTCGCCAACGGGGGCGACGAAGGTGGTTTTCAGGGGCGCCGGCAGGCCGCCTAGCTCCTAGAGCGTCGCGGGGGCAGGGCGGGCAGGGCGGGGCGGCCCCGGCCGGGACGGGGCCGCGCCATCCGCCATCTGGCGAGCCGCTCAGACGGCGCGGACAGGCCGCCTCCGACGCTCACCGTTTCCCATACGGGAAGGGCGATGCTTTATATTACGCATAACCGTGTATCTAAAAGTGTGTAAATGGAAACAGACACAGATCTTTCAAATTCTCATCCCGTCTAGTTTTCTTTAATTAAACTCTTGAATCAAAATCATCGTTTTTTCAGCTTACAGTGAAATAATACTAAATGAACAAAGCCTAAAACCGTGTAAGAAACTTAACTACATCCGTGTTTTCATGGAGTCTCGGCGACGGGCAGGCGCCCGCCGGCAGGGCAGGCCCGGGCGTGGGAGGGGCTCGGCTTCGCCCCCGCTGCGCCCGCGGCCCTTGCTAACGGCCCTTTCTTGTCCCGGCAGGTCCGCCCGCGCGGGGGTCCGCGGCCGCCCTGAGGAGCGCCCGTCCGCTGTGCGGCCTCACGCCGGCCGCCCTGGCCCTCGCTCTGCGCGCCCTGTGGTGACCGCCACTCTTCCTCCTACTGACCGGACGGTTACTTGGTTACAGAAGAAACGTGCTCTCCTGAAATGCAGTGATTATGCATGTTTTTTCCCAACTCCGTATTTTTAACTTTTACATAGGTACAATACGAATATAACTTAAAAACAGTGCATCCTTCCAGGAGACTCTGAAATGCCTTAATACTTGATAAACCAAAGGACTTTACGTGTTACGCCCTTCAGACTTTTGGTACAGACGATCCTGAGCGATGATTTTAAGCGCTACCCGTGGAGAAAGGCGCCCACGCGACACCCGCGCTGTTGTTTCTTATTAACGCGGAGATGCTCATTTAGCCCAGAGGTGGCTTTCCTGCCGTGGCAGCATCGCGGGGGAGGCTGGCCCAGCGTCACGTGGAAGGGGTCGCAAGTGCAGTTCGCCTGCCCCGTCGGGAAGAGCGCGGGTGGGACTCCAGGCCAGGGCACCGTCCGTCCCGGCCGCCCGCTGCCACCCCGCAGCGCCCCTGCCGACGGGGGGCCCCGCCCGCTCACCGGCCTCTGCCGAGACCCGCAGCCGCGAGGCTGGGCGCGGGGGCTGCCCCTCGCAGGGATTCACGTCAGGCCTGAGCCCGGCCGCTGTTGTGAAGCTCGCGGTCCGTCCCGGGTACTGCTTTTTGAATTCTTTCATTCAACAACGTGAAAGGGAAACAGTCTCACCTTATCCTTCCTCAAAAATAAAAAAGATGATAAACAGGAATCATTTCCTTCACACATATGAACAGCTTCAGGTTTCATGCAAACATGGAGGAAGGAAGGAAGGAAGGACCAGAATCCCAGCCCCAACATTCCACAAAATTCACACATCTCTCACTTCCCATTTCTGGCTCCACCAGGAGACCCTCTCTCTTGTGCATGACAGAGACAGATTTTGAGTGGGACCCCACCGCCCACCGAGGGAGCGAGCCTGGCGGGCGTCGGTGTTTCCGAGTCGCGCAGGTGGCCGAGCGGGCGGTGCTGCCGGCTTCGGTGTGAGCAGCTCGCCCCGCCCATCCCTGTGCGGCTGCGAAGGTCCCCGCGACGTGACCTCATGGCGATGCGTAGCGAACCCACAGGCGCGGCAGGTCCTGGCAGACGGCCACATCAATTTTTTACCTCTTTTTTAACCAATAGCGCATTTTGCAGGAACTTTTGTTCTCTGCAAAACTGTCAGCATTTGCCGCCGACAGTTTCTATGAGAAAACAAAGAGAGCGTTGCTTCACATTTAGAGATTACGTTTAAGACGAAGTTGCTATGTGCCGGGGGAACATAACTTTCTGTGCAAGGCTGTATATACTGTACATATCTAGGGAAACCTGACCGTCGCTGCTTCCAGTCAAAGCAAGAAGAGGCGTTCCCGGCAGCCCGGACCCCGCGCTCCGCGCCGTGATGGATGGGACCACGCCTCTGTTACTGACCGGCCCCCCCACCCCCCGTTCGTGCGGCTCCCGTCCGACGCGACCGCCGCGTCGCGGCGCTTCCAGCCCTGTATCTCCATGAGATCCGCACTTTGTTTCATATTGAAAAGTATAGACAGTATCTTCCGATCTCTGTGTGTGTATCCTATGGTTATCTGTATGTATTATTTTCTATTATTCTAATAAAATTTATAGCAGTTGACTGCCCGTGCCTGGTCAATTGTGGTGCGGTCAAAAAAGAACGTTTAAAGGAGGACACAGGAGGAATAACCACATTTCTCAGCCAACGTTGAGTCTTTCCACATTGAACAGGATATTTTTGTAATTGGGGCTCTGGCCGGGGGTGGGGGGGCTCCGTTGGGTGGGGCGTCGTCCAGACGCCAGGGTTGTGGGTAGGATCCCCGGTCAGGGCACAAGCAAGTGGAACAATGAATCGGTGTTTCTTTCTCTAGAAACCAGTGAACAAAATGTTTTAGAAAAGCATTTATAGATGCTACTGACTGAGTAAAGTCGGTGTTTGAGGCTGCAGCCCCTGTTCCCAGGTGCGGGGCGGGCGGTGGGCGGCGGTAGGCGCTCCCCTCACAGGGCCGCGGCGTCCGGCTCACCCTCACCTGCTATGGCGGCGGCGGCGGCTGCGCCCACCTGTCCGACAGCGTTTTCTTAAGTTAACATCCATCCGCCAAGTCCTCCGGAGACGTTCTCGCTGGCATCCGGACGAGAGCCTCGTCGGGAAACACTCCTCCTGGTGTAATGGGTTCTAGGTGTTTGAGGAAATACACGAATTTATTACTAGGTTCGCGTCTACTAGTGGAGAGTTTTCAATGTTGGTGTGGATGTCAGGAAAATGAGAGCTAAAATGGCAATTCGGCCATTTTCTTCAGAGTTCAAAGACATTTAGAAGCAAGAGAATCAAGTGGCAAAAGTATGTAGCGCTGCGCACGTGTGCATGTGTGCACAGATGTGTGCGCAATTTAAACTCCGGCGCAGCCGTACACGTACGTTCGAACTTCGCAAACCTCTCTGGACACATTTGGTCAGTCTGCACCTTCGCTGCACACTGCACAGATTCTTTCTCTGTGTTTCGGTTGTGCTTTTACGTTTCTTGAAGTGATTAAGCATAATATGCTGAAAGTGTTCCTTATTTTCTCCATCTTCAATATTAAAATAACTACACAAAAATTCACCAATTTCCATGGTTTTTTAAATGCACACTGATAGGACAGCTGTCACCCTACAGTCTAACAACATTGTTCCCAACGAAGTTAAAGATAACTAGGCACTACTAGAGCCATCGTAAGGAAAGAAACGTAACGGGCTTTTTGACCGACACAGCACCTCGATCATCCGTCCCGCGGGGAAGCGAATGCCTTAGGTCCTGAGTTAAGGGACGTTACCTGGGAAAACTCGGGGAAACATGGGAGGAGTGGCCAGTGAGCAGGTTGCTTCTGTTACCAGGCAGTCGAATGGGACAGGCACACAGCGCCCGCGGACGCGTCCCCGGGCCGGCTTACGAGCCCTCGGGGCGTCCTCGGCCTCCCCAAAGCGTCCCCCCGGGGGCGGCCCCCCGCGGCCGCGGGTCACGGTCCCGCGCGGGCATGCGCCCTGGGACCCGGCTCCGGCCCGGGGAGCACCCTCGGCCTGCACGGCGCTTATTCGTCGAGTCAGCGGATCTTGACCGTTTTGTCGTGCCCTCCTGCGTTGATTGTGCCGTAGACAGTGAGGCGTGACGATAGGAAAAGAAGAGGGACTGTGAAGTTTTACCTGAAATACTGGTAGGCAGAGGGCCCCCCGAACGGGGAACGTGGGCCAAGGGGGAGGAAGGCCGTGCAGGCTGCTGGCACGGGCGGCCGCCCCAGCCTTCGGTCGGGACGGAATCCCAGCCACATCCCGGAATGGCTGTGTGACCCCGGGCCGGCAGGTCGCTCGGCTAAGGCACAACGCTTGCCTCCAAAATGCCACCCGGGGGGACCTCGGGGGAGGACAGTCATGGTGATAACAGGAGCCACTCACACAAACGTTGGGTCAGAGTCTGGCCCAGGGACACTCACCAACAGTCTAATAGGTTAATAATGTTCCCGTGACGGTGACTGGGTTTGAAACGCTGACTCGTCCCTCAAAGGTCACTCCTCAAATACGCGCAACAACAGGCGCTGCACAGGGCAGCCTGTCGGTCCCCGCACCGTCAACGCCGGCCGCCCAGGGCGCTGGCGGGAGGCAGCGAAGCGGGGCCGGGGCGCCCCCGGGCGGCCTGTGAGCACGGGGCAGCCTCTGCAGGGCCTCAGGCGCAGCCCGGGGCGCGGGGACGGCTGTCTCACTGCGTGACCCGGCTCCCTCAGCTCAGGGCGCGCCTGGCAACCAGCGCGACGCGGCCCCATGTCAAGGCCGGACGTCATTCGGGGACGATGCTCAGAAAGACGTTAAGTCACAGGCTGCCCGCTCTCCTGCTGCTGCCGGACGTGAGGAACGCCTGTTCGTGACCGCGCGCGCCCCTCGTGACCTGCGGTCGCTGAGAGCAGAGTCACGGAGCCGGCGCCGGTGGGTCCAGGCGGCAGAGGAGGTTCTGGGTGCTGCTCAGGGGAGGCTGAGGGGCAGAGGAATGCGCTGAGCAAGGGGGCTCCTGGGGACGGCGCCCAGCGCCCTCGTGGGGGCGGCACGTTTCTGCGCCCTCTCCTGGGGCGGGTCACGCCGCCCCCCGGGGCCGCCTCCCACAGCGACGGGCAGTCCAGGGGGACCGGAGGGGCCG